ATTAGAGGACCTTGAAATTTACAATGCATATTCTCAAAGCAATACAAACCCTGTAAAGAGGCTTGACATGCATAGAATGATCACTAGAGGAAAACTTTTCCTTAAGGTTAGCACACTTTCTTCACACGTTCAAAGTGCTAATCATGTTACACAGGTTATGCCATTAATTGTGTTATTCTACAGTTATAGTGAGAAGCCAGTTTTCTCAGTTCTTACTCAGGCACAGCTTCTATGGACTTCAGTGATAGCTTTTCTTCAGTAAAGAATGAGAAATCATGAAGTGTAGGACTGGAAGGGGCTCGAGAGATCATCTAGTCCAGTCCCCTGCACTCAAGGCAGGACTATGTAACAACTAGACCATCTCTGACAGGTGTTTGTCTAACCTGTTCTTAAAAACCTTCAGTGATAGAGGTTCCACAACATCCCTAAGCAATTTGTTCCAGTGCTTAATGACTAAGGATTTACTCAGGACTAAGGTAGAACTGCCACATCCCAGCTGAGTGCCCTAAACACTGAGCTATATAGTCAATTGATCAGTCTCCCCCTCCCAATTTTTAGTTTTTTATACAAAGTGCAACAGCTCCAACAGGAGAGATTGTGTTCTGATGGGGAATGAACACAAATTTCAAAACCTTGAAATTCTTGCTTTCCAGCCAGCCCCTCTTACAGGAGTTTGTTTATTGAATTTAGTAAAAGTTACAGATGCTCCATATCACTGAGAAACAGGCCCTCAGTGTACAATTTTACCTCTGAAATAAGTGAATTATTACCAGTAATGTACTGATCAAGATTAATGATGACATTATTAGAGTAAGTACCAGTTTTACTTCAATCACACTGTCATCATTGTAATCTGAAATACCCATAAAAAGAGTACCATGTCTTCATTTAAGACATTAAGTGTCCACTTTCGTTCCACAGCTCAACCATTTCTCCTTGTGCAATGCAATTGAGATGAAGGCAACTTAGATTTATACCTTTAATTCAGGTGTTAAGGAGAGCCTGAAATGAAATAAATTATTGCCTTTCTTCTTTTAATCAGCAACAGCCATGCTGACAACTTCACAAGCTTGTATGTTAGCAATCCAAAAGTGAATCTTATGAATAAATATAGTTAGATATCCTGACTCTATTCCACAACAATCACAGCCCTTATCCTATCTGACCCTGAAGGACAGACAATTCAGAAAACTTATTTTCCTAGGGCCCAATCCCGTGAGGTGTTTAAAGACTGCCACTCTCACAGAAGTCAATGGGGAATACCACTTGGGAGGCACTTACTTTGTAGGACTGAATCTCTAAATTGTTGTTATCATAAAATTCTGCAGCTACCTCTTCAGCTGCTAACTTAGTATTTTCTGGTTTATATTTTATATACATCACTACTGGAAGATGAAAAAAAACACATGTCACACTGTCTCTTGAGATAAGCACACAGTGTCAGTAATTTATGTACACAGTATAATTAAAGGTATAACTGGAATTCATCTGATAATAAATTTGAGAAAAATAGTAAACTGAGAAATATTTTGTTTTACAAACTTACCAACAGGAATTACTGTTGCATAGTTTTACACACACACACACAGTAACATATAGCACTCTCTGTATTCTATACATTTAACAAGAATATACCTTTGTCATCTGGCTCTACTTACCTAGTGAAATACAAATATAAAGAAACTGCCAATAATGAACAGATGAACACAGAGGTCTTGATCCTGCCAAGACTTACTCAGAGGATTTACATTATGCACTGTGAGTAGTCCCACTGACTCCAGAAAGGCTACTCACTGTGTAAGGCTAAGCATGTGCTTACGTTTTTGGAGGACTGGAGCCTTAACTAGTAATCTAGCTAATTTAAAGCATACAAGTAACTGTCCCCCACTAGCCCCAGTGACAGCCCAGCTTTCTTGTCAATTTCACAGCTCTAGCATGGAGCCATGAAATTGACAAGAAGGACAGCCAACAGCCGATGTAAATAATGCAGCGCCTACACAAACTATGTTGCCCTAACTACACCAAGATAAGCCCTATGCCTCTCGTGGAGGTGGAGTTATTATGTCAGTGTAGTAGGGCATTTACGTGGGCAGGAGCAAGACTGTAGTGTGTACATTGACATAATTAGATCAACGTAAGCTGCCTTCTGTCGACCTAACTCTGTAGCGTAGACCAAGCCCAGGTTACAGTTTGTTTGGAAATGCAACTTACTCTAGGGTGACCAGATGAGATGAAGAAAATATCGGGACACTGGGGGAGGGGCGGGGGGGCAAAAAAAAAAAAAAGCTGAGTGCTGCCGGCCGAGCAAAAAAAACCGAGTGCTGCTGGCGGAGCAAAATATCAGGACAAATTGCGTCCCGACCAGGGATTGGTTGGGACGCGGGACAAACAGCTAAAAATCGGGACGGTTCCAATTTTATCGGGACGTCTGGTCACCCTAACTTACTCTGACCATCTCTCTGCACTATATGACAAGTGCTCAATTTTATCTCAGATTTATGTATTTATTTACTTACTTGCTTAGAGCCTCTGGTGGGGGAGGGGAGTAACAAAAGAAGTGGCAGGAATCTTCCCACAGGTCAAATACAAAAGTGGGTAACATATACTCTGTAACACAGCACCTTTAACTTACCCTTCTTCAAATACTGTGCTATATTGCTCCGGATTACAACCCTAGATCAAAAAGTCTGTAAATCCTTTTTGTATGTGCATGTGATAGTAAGGTTTTTCCCCCAATTACTGTTTGACAAAAATGTCCTTAATAATTGGCTATGCCAAGAAACACAGTATGAGAGAGATTAAGGTTAAAACACTTTACTTTAAACACAATAGTTAATGCTAGTTTCTTAAAACTATCTAATTCACTATCACAAACTATTATACTTTCTCCTAGACCTTCACATTAGCTTAGACACAAATTGAGACTTCCATCATATCATTTACCAGAATAGCACCATAAAAGTTGGCTATTATGTGATTCACTGAGGGCAGAAAAAATATTTTAAATATTCAGCTCTAGATATACTTTATATCAGTATAAATATCTAATCCCATTGCCCTCTGACAGTTTTTCTGACTATTATTCCCTTTCTACACCAGGCTAGTTGATAAATCTTATCTAGGCAATGTACCATATGTCAGAGGAGGTTGATAACCAGAGGAATCAGTTAAGTAGTAGGATACATGACAGAGTATGTCTGTATGAAAGAAAGTTTGTCTTGTAATCAACTGAAATTATAGATTCTTGTCATGTCACATAATATAATCATTTTCCCACTCTCTGTGTTGCCTCTTCCAGAAACACTAACAAGTGATAACTATACCAGTCACATTGATAATACATAACTAGAGATGTTGTAGGCAATGGATGTATTGCCCTGATTATTTAAAAAAAATATTCCTGGAATCTTAGTACTGTAAAAAGTAGAAAAATTAAAGTATAATCTGCTTACACCTTGCTAATTTAAAAATGATAATAATTCAGTGGCACTCTGAAAATCAAATTGTCAAGCCTGTATGATTTGGATTGTACATACCAATTGAGAAGATTGTGGCTTAATGAATTAGAATGTAATGTGCACCCAATAAGGACAACTGACCATAGAAGTTACTGTGACTATAGAAAACCCATCGCAGGGTGTTAATTTTAAACAGACCAACCAGTGCAGTCCATAACATGCTCCATATTTCGTTAAATCTATTCTATTCAGTTAGAACTTTATTTCAGTGCCATTATAGCAGGGCATATATTACCTTCCATGTCTTTGGTTCTGTCTATTCCAATTAACTCATATTCAATTACTTTTTTCTCTTTTTTTTAAAAAACAATTACAATATACAATTCTACTGCAGGAAAGGTGACCAAATTGTTCAAGTTCCAATCTAATCTCCATTTCACCGGTCAAATGATGTTTTGTTGCAATAAATGTTAGTAGCAATTAAAACAAAACAAAAAACCCCACAAACCACAGCTGCCAGATGTCTTTTCTAGATATATGACATGAGACAAACAAAACTAAAAACCATCTCCATTAGCAAACAGTAATATGAAAATGAATGGCACATTTGTGCATTTGCTTTTAGAGGACAAACTGAAACAAATCCTGGTTGAAAGGCCACAGTTCCTAAGCCTTGAAAAAGTGTGTGTAACTTTCATTTAAAAACTCAAATAAAGATCGCGAGGATTTCCTGGTAAGGTGGTAGCTGCAGAGTCAGACTTTCTTATAGCCCCCCTCTCCCAAGCATTTGTGAGCAGCCAACCATTCCCCCCCTAGAACAATCAGACGTTGCCTGTTGACAGCAGGGCGCATCCTAGTGAACCACGCTGCTGCTTGCGGGAGGGAAAGGACAGAACCCGCTCAGGTAGCGCTGGAGAGCGGGACCCGGATCTTTTACAAGCCTGTTTGTTTTTGTAAACAGGCCGCTTATTTCCTCTTATCCATCATCCCCTCCCGCCGTCCCCTCATTAGCTCAGTCGCGATGCAAACACAGAGATCAACTAGCAACTCCCGAGTATTTGTTTTGTGACCGGTCCCAGCGAGAGGGGGACCCCAGACAGGCCGTGCGCTTGCGGGGCTGTAGGCTGTCCCTCAGCCCCAACCCACCCCAGCGCGCCCCGCGCCCAGACCCCGCGCATCCCAGGCGGGCTTCGCAGCGCTACCGCGTCCGTGCGGGGCGCACCTGAGGCCGGGGAGGGACTCCCGCTCCCCGCCGCCTGAGTGCCAGTCTGCAGAGGCTCGTTCAGTCTCCCCGCCCGCCCCCCACGCGCACCTGCCCCTCGCTGCGGTGGGGCAGGGGCTACCTCTGCCCTCTCTGGGGCACAGCTGGAAACTCCAGCTGCCGCCCACCCCGGCTCCCAGCCCACCCTGGGGCCAGAGGGGATGCTGCAGCCCGCCCCGCAGCCCCATTCCTGCCGCCCTGGGGAGGCTTCCCCCTCCTGCTACCGCTCTGCCCTACGGCCACCCCCGCCCGAGCCGCGTTGCCGCGCAGGACTCACTCACACGGGGTAGTAGGCGTAGGGCGGCAGGGGGTTCTCCTCGCACAACCCCGAGGCCAGGAGCAGATAGTCCTGGCTCTCCGTCCTGCGGCCCGGCCTGGCCGGGGAGCTGCCCGGCCGCGGCGCGTAGGGCTGGCCGCGGCTCATGCTGTTCCCGGAGGTCTCTGAGCTTCGCGCCGGAGCTTGGAGGGGCAGAGGAGGCGCAGAGACCCGGGCGCCCCCACAGGCAGCGCCGGCTCTCCCAGCCTGACACTCCCGCGCCCGGGAGCCACTGACCGCTCAGCTGCTCCGCTGCCTTGGGGCGGCCAGGCTGGGGCACCGGGCTCCTTCAGGGCCGCTCCCGGACCGCCATGGGGCCCGCAGAAGAAACACTCGGGCTGCCCGGCGTCTGCAGTCAGCGGCAGGAGGGCAGCAGCGCCCCGGGCTCCCTCCACGCCCACAGCCAGGCACGGGTCCAGCAGCCACAACCGCGGCCGCCAGCAGCTCCCAGCCACACTGGCTGAGAGGAGCGAGCGAGCGGAGTTACTATGTCAATCGGCAACATCCTCCTCCCCAGTCGTCACCGCCCGGCGTTTGGAGCGATCAGACGTGAGTAAAAGTTTGCGCAGCCCCATCCTGAGCTGTGTCCTCCCTAGAGCTGCTCCCAACGGGCAAGTGCCCCGAGTAACTGGAGCTGGGAAGTCTGGAAATGCACATCAGCCTCCCACTATAAACTACCTGCTCCCTGGGTCTACAGTCCCCGGCTGGGAGTGGAACCCTCCCTTCTCCTTTGATATTGTTCCCTGGGTGATTTGCCTATAAAACTAATATTCTGCTATGGGCAGTGCGCAGGAATTTAAATTTGACTACTTATTATGCCATATCAACGCATGCCCATACATCATCTGCAGCACAGAAATAAACAGCAGTATTTGCCCATTTCAACGAAAATCTATGTGCCATGGAGCCATCTGAATAAAGGAATCCACAGGTACTTGGCTGCGGGGTGGGGGGGCTGTGACAGAGCTCCTCCTGCCCTGGGGCTGGGTTGGGGAGAGCCAGCTCCCCTCTAGGCCCAGGGGACCTTTTGTTCTCTCTCCCTCTCAGAGTCCCAGGGCCAGAGGAGCTCACTCTCCCCACCCTGGCCATGGGCTGGAGGAGATCTGTGACCCCGTCACAGCCAAGTACTTGAGGATACATTTATTCAGATTTAATGTGTATAATATGTGTATGTTTAACATGTTACTCCAAAAGCAATCAATTTAAATTCCTGGGCCCTGGGCGGGAGGCGCTCACTCTCCCTGCCCTGGCCCAGAGGAGCTCTGTAACCCCGCCGCAGCCCCAGGGGCGAAGGAGCTCACTCTCCACCCTGGGGCCCTGGCACCGGATAAGTTCTGTCACCTCACTCACCTCCCTGATTATTGGGGAGGACCAGTACCCTGGCTTCCCCCCCCCCCCCCTTGTACATGCCCCTGTGCTGTACTAACTACACTGCCTTCGGGCAGTAGCGTTGGAGTTCCTGTGAGGCTCTCTACCTCTTTGAGAATTTCATAAATAAGTCACCAAGGTCAGTTGTTTAGTGCCAGTCTGTAAACTGGCAAACAACCCCCCACGGTCACAGACATGAATGTGAAGAACTGGATAAAAGAGCAAGGATAATTAATCTGCCTTTTAAAAATAACATTGAAAAATTCACTTAGTTAATTGTTTAAAAAAAATAAAGACTCCATTCACACTCCCTTGTAAAAGAAATTTATATATATATATATATATATAGGCTGTCAAGCGATTAAAAAATTAATCGTGCGATTAATCATGCTGTTAAACAACAATAGAATATTTATTTTTATTACAAATATTTGCACTGTAAAAAACAAAAATGTATTAGGTGAATTGAAAAATATTAATTACTGTAGTGCAATCTTTTTATCGTGAAAGTTGAATTTATAAATGTAGAATTATGTACAAAAAACCTGCATTCAAAAATAAAACAATGTAAAAGTTTAGAGCCTACAAGTCCACTCAGTCCTACTTCTTGTTCAGCCAATCGCTCAGACAAAAAGTTTGTTTACCTTTACGGGAGATAATGCTGCCTGCTTCTTGTTTACAATGTCATCTGAAAATGAGACCAGGCCTTTGCCTGGCACTGTTGTAGCCGGCATCGCAAGATACTTACGTGTCAGATGCACTAAAGATTCATATGTCCCTTGATGCTTCAGCCACCATTCCAGGGGACATGCGTCCATGCTGATGACAGGTTCTGCTCGATAACAATCCAAAGCAGCGTGGATTGACCTTTGGTCTGACCCAGTATGGCCATTCTTATGTTCTTATGCTCATTTTTATCGTCTGAGTTAGATGCCACCAGCAAAAGGTTGATTTTCTTTTTTCGTGGTTTGGGTTCTGTAGTTTCCGCATCAGAGTGCTGCTCTTCTAAGACTTCTGAAAGCATGCTCCACACCACACCCCTCTCAGATTTTGGAAGGCACTTCAGATTCTTAAATCTTGGGTTGAGTGCTGTATCTTTAGAAATTTCACATTGGTATCTTTTTTGTATTTTGTCAGATTTGCAGTGAAAGTGTTCTTAAAATGAACAACATGTGCTGGGTCATCATCCGAGACTGCTATAACATGAAATATATGGCAGAATGCAGGTAAAGCAGAGCAGGAGACATACAATTCTCGCCCAAGGAGTTCAGTCATAAATTTAATTAATGCATTATTTTTTTAACGAGCGTCATCAACATGGAAATGTCCTCTGGAACGATGGCTGAAGCATGAAGAGGCATATGAATCTTTAGTGTATCTGGCACGTAAATATCTTGCAATGCCAGCTACAAAGGTGCCATGTGAATGCCTGTTGTCACTTTCAGGTGACGTAATTAAGAAGTGGGCAGTATTATCTCCCATAAATGTGAACAAACTTGTTGTCTTAGCGATTGGCTGAACAAGAAGTAGGACTGAGTGGACTTGTAGGCTCTAAAGTTTTATATTGTTTTGTTTGAGTGCAGTTATGTAACGAAAAAAATCTATATTTGTAAGTCGCACTTTCACGATAAAGAAATTGCACTACAGTACTTGTATAAGGTGAATTGAAAAATACTATTTCTTTTGTTTGTCATTTTTACACTGCAAATATTTATAATAAAAAATATTATAAAGTGAGTACAGTACACTTTGTATTCTATAATTGAAATCAATATATTTGAAAATGTAGAAAAACATCCAAAATATTTAATAAATTTCAGTTGGTATTCTATTGTTTAACAATGTGATTAATCGCGATTAATTTTTTTAATGCATATATAGGTCAGCAGCTCAGCACGTGTAACTACAGTAAACAGTAAACAGTAAACAGACCCATGGGGCCTGCATTATGCAAATAAAACGAAAAAAAACTCAGTATAGAAATAGATTTTAGTTTCAAACATTTACATCAAGTTAAGATTATCTAAAAAATATGCTAAAATTCTTCTCATATTAGCATTATGCACATGCTTAAATGTTTGCAGGTCATTGTCTAGCATCCATTCCTGATCCCTTTGAAATCATTACCACAATTAGTTCCACTGTCTTACATGGGAGGCGAAGCAAACTCTTACTCTTTTACCTAGAAATGCAGTACTGATACACATTCTGCTACAAACTCTGTTGTTCATTTGTTTCACCACAAGATATTTTTCCATTCCTTTAATTTAACATTCCTGACACTGGGGAGAAAAAAATGATACTGTAATTATTTATATGCTGCCATGGCACTGTAGTTTAGCAAAATGATTATAGTAATTTAATTTAAGATGCAAAATACAGCACAACATTTAGCAAGACCCAGTCACAATATATTTCTATTCAATTTCCATGAGGACACTAACACAATCCTTGTGATACACTTAGTTTATGGCGGTAGTTTGTACATTTAAATTAATCCCAAATTATCCTGCAAAATCCTGTAGCATATTTAAGAAACAGCTCCTTTCAAATGTTCTTGAAGCGATACTGGGTGTATCTTTTAGAAGGGAAAATTCATAACCAGATTTGATAATTTGTGAATCTAGAGTATAAAATAAGTATATTCTAATAAAATCCCCCCTCACCCCTCTCCCAAAGTCACATCATCAGCGCTATATCAGCATTTCTTATCTGGAAAATGTGATTAGTAGTTTTTTATGTCCTGGATATCCACCCTTACCTCTCTTGGTTATATTCTGAAAAATAGACCTCTTTATTAAGTGCTTGAAATCTTTGCAATTACTTCCAAAATGAAGACAGGATGCAGCTGCCCCTGCTATCTAACTACTAGGTACTTATACGTGTCTCATTGCTGTAGTATTTGACATCTGAGCCATTGAGACTGGCCTTCTCCCAGCTGCTGACTTGTGAGAGACGAAAGTAGATATAGAACCTGCTCCAAAGTTCATTGACGTCAATGGTAGTACTTCAGTGAATTTAAATGGGCTTTGGATCAGGTGCTAAGAAAACTGCTGCTGGGGTTGCCTAGGCAAAGGCCCTGAGACCACTCTGCCTCCCTCTTTCCCCAGCTGCAGATTGCTGGAGAAGGAAGAGCACAGCATCTGCTCCTGAGAGAACATATCATATTGCCACTATATAAATCCATGGTACGCCCACACCTTGAATACTGCATGCAACTCTGGTCACCCCATCTCAAAAATGGTATTAGAATTGGAAAAGGTACAAAGAAGGGCAACAAAAATGATGAAGGGTATGGAACAGTTTCCGTATGAGGAGAAATTAAAAAGACTGGGACTGTTCAGCTTGGAAAGGAGACACTAAGAGGGAATATGATAGAGGTCTATAAAATTGTGACTGGTGTGGAGAAAGTGAATAAGGAAGTGTTATTTACTCATTCACATAACACAAGAAGCTGGGGTCACCCAATTAAATTAATAGGCAGCAGGTTTAAAACAAACATAAGGAAGTACTTTGTCACACACAGTGCACATTGAACGTGTGGAACTCGTTGCCAGGTGATGTTGTGAAGGCCAAAACTAAAAGAGGGTTCAAAAAGAACTAGATAAGTTCCTGAAGGATAGGTCCATCAATCGCTATTAGCCAAGATGTTCAGGGATGCAACCTCCTGCTCTGAGTGTCCCTAGCCTCTGTTTGCCAGAAGCTGGGAATGGACGACAGGGGACGGATCACTCAGCGAT